ATCTTTTTATGCCTCCGTAATTGAAGATTCAGGGGCATATAGTTTTTGCCCTCTCCGTCCGTCTGTCTGTCCACAAAATCTTTAACCTTGCCCATAACTTTTGATTGGTTGGAGCTATGGCTTTCGTATTTCACATGTGTATTCCTTGTGACAAGACCTTTCTTTGGGTACCATCATATTGGACCTTTTGACCTTGACCTTGGAGTTTGACCCACTTTTGCAAAATTTTATGAGACTTTAACCTTAGCCATAACTTTTGAACAAGTGGTGCTTGGGCTTTCAAACTTTACATGTGTATTTATTGTGATAAGACCTTTCTTTGGATACCAACAACTTTGACCCTTTAACCTTGACCTTGGAGTTTGACCTACTTTTGAAAAAACTTTAATCTTGGCCATAACTTTTGAACAGTTAGAGCTAGGGCTTTCATACTTTACATGTGTATGTCTTTTGAAAAGACCCCTTGGATACCAACAATTTTGACCTTGACCTTAGAGTTTGACCTACTTTAATTTTGAAAAACTTAAACCTTGGCCATAACTTTTTAACAGTTAGTGCTAGGGTTTTCATACTTCACATGTGTATTCCTAGTGACAAAACCTTCCTTGGATACCTACATCTTTGACCCTGACCCTTGAGTTTGACCTACTTTTGAAAAACTTTAACCTTGACCATAACTTTTAAACAATTGGTGCTAGGGCTTTCATACTTCACTTGTGCATTCCTTCTGACAAGATCTAGTCGCCCGCGTGGCGCAGTGGTTAGAGCGTCTGCTCTAGAGTCGCAAAGTAAGGAGTTGATCCTTACGTCGTGGGTTCGAATCCCACTGGGGGACGTGGAGACCGGTCCTTCGGATGAGACCGTATAAACCGAGGTCCTGTGTCGCAGTAGGTGCTGGCATGAAAAAGATCCCTCACTGCTCAATGGCCATAAGTGCCGAGCATAGAACAAAATTTGCAGCTCTCCACCGACAAATGGTGGCGTCTCCACATGAGTGAAAAATTCTCGAGAGGGACGTTAAACAACATACAATCAATCAATCAATCTGACAAGATCTTCCTTTGGATACCAACAACTTTGACCTTGGAGTTAGACCTACTTTAGGAAAACTTTAACCTTGGCCATAACATTTGAACATTTGGTTCTAGGGCTTTCACATTTCATGAACGTGTATCACTTGTGACAAGACCTTCCCTTGGGCACCATTTGACCCATGACTTTGACGTTTTACTTACTTTTAAAAAACTTTAACCTTTGTCATAACTTTTCAACAGTTGATGCTGTGGCTTTCATATTTTACTATTCCTTGAGACAAGACCCTTCTTTGGGTACCAACATTTTTGATTTCTTGACCTGGAGTTTGACTTGCATTTGAGAAACTTTAACTTTTGCCATAAGCTGCTATACGGGGGCATCAGTGTTTCACAAACTCATCTTGTTACTCTTGAACTAGGAGACCAGCTGTATGAATATGATAATTATTTTCTTACAAACTAAAAAATTTTTGGAAACATTAGACCAGAGTTCCTGTTGGGGCCAGCTGCCAGAGCCTGATAAACTTGAGATCATAACCCTTTAAAGCTTGTATTATATATGAGGATATCTAGCAGATCATACAATTTGCATGATTATAATGATAAGCTAACCATTTATCAAAACCTTGAAAACCATGTCCTTTGGTCTAGAGTTCAATCCCCAGGGTGGGGCTCAGTTTGTCGTATCTTGAAAATTTATTAGTGTACCTTTGAAAATCTCATTCACCAACATTTAGCAAGCAAAGTGTACATGGTGGCAGAAAGCTATTTGCTCTTCACCAAATTTCTTAAATATGTGTCCCAGACATTGGGCTCTAGGATTAGGTGAACTACATGGGGGGGGGGGGGGATTATTTATTCCTTTTTTCCCTAAGAACAAGCTTAAAGAAATGACAGGTGGAGCTTAGATAGTCATATAAAGATAAACTCATGATAATCAGGTGACTGTCAAGGTCTATGGGCATCTTGAAGAGAAGGAACAACAGTCTATCTTGTAAATGCATGTTTTATTTATTTCAAATAATAAAATACAGAATGTATTTTACTATGTTTTCAAACTGAAATCTGTTACACATATGCAAAACTTGACAAGTGCAATATAAGTTACAGAACAAGTTCTCAATTGCAAGCTTTCTTCAGGTAGACAACACAGAAAAATCTGTCTAGTGAAGACAGACAGATACAAAAATTCACAAAGTACAAAAAAATGGGTGTAATATTCCACATTCCTCCATTATATTGACAGCTGCCTGTTGATGAATAAACAGAACAAATAGTCTTGTACAAAGTGTTCCTCCTTGTCTCATACCAACCAAATCAGAAAACTGAAGTTGAATTACATAGAACCAATGGACAAACAGAAACAATAGGAGAAACACTTGGACAAGCAGACATTTTGTGTTCGGACATTGTCGATACAGGCCACAAGTACTGGGTCTTAAGGGTCATTCTCCATTAAAAGCTATCACTAAACAAAAAGCACTGACAGATCACAATGTCGCAGACAACTCATTGCATGCTTGCTGTCTTTTTTCTGATCATTGCAGTGAAACTTATTCAGATTTGAGAGAGGTTTATGCTAGCTACAGAACAATAGATCAATCTGTAGTCAAACATAACTCATAAATACACAGGAAATGTACATTTGAATTTTACAATCTGAAATACAGATACAACTGTTACATATTTTTGAAAAAAATATTTTCATACTTAAATAGGAGAGAAGTGGGATATGAAAATTTTATTTTATTACAATGGTTAAGTTTGTAACATGATTATCATAATTTGCCATTTATGCATTAACAATAATTCTTTTATCAGATTATTTTTACAGCAATAATCTGAATGATAAAACATTATAAGAGAAAACCTTTGAAACGATGCACATCTCATCCACTTATACTACAACAGAGCATCTTGTATAACAGAATGGTTTTAAGATGATGCATGGAAATGAACACCCCCCTCCCTCAAAATAAAAAAAAAACAAACAAAAACAGAAAAAAATTACACAAGAATAAACAATGTAAACACAAACAGAAAAATTGCACATTTCTTGGTATAAAATCACAACAGCTGATTCTGTAGCATTGGATGACAAACCTGTGTTAAAAATAATACAAAAAAGAGCTTACGATGAAAAATTAACACTTTCAGACTAAAAAATATATATTTAATAATTAGAGTCACAGACAACATTTACCGCAATGCTGTTGAAAACTAATTACTGTGAAATAACAACAAAAATTTTAAAAAGAGTGTCAACACTCATCATTTTCTGAAATGAAAATGTAAAGACAGAACTTTTAAATGATAGTTGTATTTATTTAGATTGGTTCTATACAAATAATTGATTTTTAAATACATGTACACTGTTAGTTTTTCCTAGCTTTATTTGAGGAAAAGGAGTGTCTAATAGCCATCCAAATCAGTTGATATGTGCAGTGATTAATCCTGTAGTGTTGGAACAACAAAAAATATGTCATGGGTTTCTATACAACCTTCTAGTTACACAATTCAATCCAAACATTAACTCAAACTGACTTTTTCCTTAGTCTCAAAAATATGATTGTGTCATACATGAAAAAAAATATACAACAAAACTAATATATATAATTTTCATCAACAATTAAATGTACAGTAATACTTGTAACAAGTTTTATTCAAATTCATAAAAAAAGAAAGAAACATACACTGTAGATACAACTTACTTCTTCATTCTAAATTATCACTCACACATCAAGGCGAGCATAAAGACATCCGACACATAGAAGCACACATTCAACACCACAAAAACAATGGATCCATCTCCATATATCCAAAGCACAGTTATCTTTCCTACACTGTATAAAAGTATTGATTTTGGTAATGGTTCTGAATTGCTTTTAATGGAAACGACTTGGTTTTAAAGAAACTTTGAAAGTTGCCTACAAAAAATTTAGGGGGGAAAAAATCAATTACATTTTGTTGTTGCATATTCCTCTCCAAGTGTGAATTTCCAGTAAGCATCATTTTCTACAGGCACACAAAGTTTATTATACTGCAGTGTTCAATCTAGGATTCAGCACAATTTGTGCCAATATGGTTCTTTCTAATTTTACTTAAGAAACCTAAGTTATAAATATATGTGTTTAAAAAAATGGGTCATATGAAGGGAGGGAGGAGTCAAGTTAGAACTGGGGAATCACTCTGAAATTAGACCGAAAAAGAAGTTTGAAAACCCAAAGATACTGTATGGATACAGAATAGTAGTAATTTCTAATGTATACTGCTGATAAGATCTGGGTCCCATTTTACAAAAAGAACTTACAACCAAGTTTAAAATTTTCAAATAGTTCTAAAATCTCGTCAACTTCATAATTTTGTGAGATTATACTTAAATAAAATTTACAAAACTGAATTCTTCTCAACATTATTAAATCACAAAAATTGAAATAAACTGCAAAAATAAATACTGGTCTTAGCCGCAGGTACTTTTGTAAAAAGACAACTAATAATGTGGTAATAGGTATGAATTTTAAATTATGTTTGAATGGTCCTAAATATTTTGGCTATTAGGTCACTAGAAAATGTTCAACTGTTTGGCCCTATGAATTCTGGCCACCTCAACCCAGACTTTTTTGACAATTAGGCCTATTAAAAGCTTAAGATTATTCCTTGTTCTAATTTATCTCCGAGTAAGTATCTTTAGGCTAAATAAGTCTTCAGTTTCATCAGTAAATTCACAATTTTATTCAAATGGGAATTTTTTTTTAAACTTGTATTTCAATTAAACGTGATGATTAACATTTTCTATTTTGTAATTTTCTGGCTTCGATTTTCAATTTTAATTTTTTTACAACGACACAGTATATAATTATTTTTAATTTTTTTAATACAGATTACTAATCTCTGGGACGTAATCTTCTTCTACTCCCAATTCAAGTTTGAAGCCAATAAATTAGCCCCCCCCCCCCCCCCAGCATGTTCTATTTACATTTTAAGAATTCTGGGGCCATATTATCACTGTCCCAAGAGCCAGCTCAGAATCTCTACTGAAAAGTTGAATGTTGGACCTATCAGTCAAGGCCAAACTGTCAAACTCCCTGAAGTGTCTGGTTATCCTACTAGAACCCATATGGTGTGATTTCTAGACTGAACACTGATGAGAAATCTAAAATTATTAGTTATGGTCTGAATTTTATGTACAAACATTTAAGAAAATAAAACCAGAGACCTGTGGTTCAATAATAATTCACATAAAACATCACTTACAAAATTTTTTGCTCATAGCAATAATACTAAACAATTACAACCTTCATCGAACTCTGGACACAAGTCTTTAGTAGAATCTGTACTTCAAAAATTACCCAACTGTATAATCATCATAACCATAACCTTTTTTTTAACTTTGGGGTAAAAAAAAAAATCAACAGAAATTTATAGAACATGTACATTAGAGCATAAAAAAAGACACATATTGTGTTTGTTTACTGTAAATTGTAAAATTTTAAAGATTTCCTACACAATAACTTCCCTACGGATGAACTCAAGATCTATTACAAATGCATTCAACCTATTCAATGTACACATATATTACTTCCTTAGAGAATCCGGTTGTATAATTTCATTCAATTTTTTCCCCCATTTTTATGTACCAAACAATTTATTTACAGAATTTAATACTGTTGATGTGGATACAATTTTTCCCCTCCCAATTTTTTTACAATAAATTCACTCTTTTCCATTTCACATATCAAAATATGAGTCTTACAATAATGAATTATAAAAGAGATGTAAAACAATGACTAGAAGTAGCAGTGGCAGTTAAAATACAATGGTACATGTAGTGTACCTTTCATGAACATAAAAACAAGTTGATATAATAACATGAGAATTCTTTCAAAACATTAAAAAAAAAAATAGGCATCAAAATGTAAGTAGACATAAGGCATAGGGGAAAAAAGCTCTCTGGAAAATGAGGCATTTTTTACTGAGAAAATATCAGTAAAGTGATGCCACATTGTTGGTTCAATATTCAACAGGGAGCTCTGTTCATGCGATGAGCTTATGTGGGAGTAAGCATCATCAACTTCTTTTGGAGGATGCTGCATTCCCTTGAAGCCCAACAGAGAAAGAGTTTAGGCAGACGTTTATCTTGTACAAGCACGAGTCCTCATATGTCATCTGCTTCTCAATTTGTGAAAAAGAGGCTGTAATTTTCTTGTTTTTTTTCTGAGGAATTTACAGACTACCATCAGGAGCTTGCAAGAGGGCATTAGTACTTAAGAAAAAGTAGGTATGCCTCAGTGTCCTCCTTTTAAAGTTGTCGATTTTTCCTTATTTGTACCCAACGTCAATCTTCTGCTAAGCAGAAGTTTAGGATGTTGATGATGCGGTTGATTCTTTACTATACTGCCTTGTGTCGCCCTCCACAACATCCACACTTCACCCCACACTTATGACAGGCCGTTAATGGCCAGTAGCACCATAGACACGGAACAAAAAATGACAAAATTGTTAAAGCAGTCCACTTTTTACAATTATTAGCATCACTGGGATCACAGTAACATGGGTGCCCATAGTCCCCATCAGGGTCACTCATACAGTGATATATTAGTCCCTTTGCACACCAAACACAGGTGACATATTCTATACACTTTTCTACCCCGTCTGGGGCCTCTTCGCAACTACCACGACCATTTTCCTCTTGAGTAAAGTTGTCATGGCAGTGTTTGCAGCGAAACTTAGAAGATCCTAATAGAGGGTGATTAGTTCTTTTTTTTTCCTTTTTCTTGGGGAGAGGTGGATGCTCCTGAATGGAAGGTTGATGTTTTATGTTGCTGGTCGTTTCCCTTTTAGAGGGGGGTTTGTGAACAGATTCTAGAGTGGGGTAACTGTACTCATGGGGTTTTTGAGTTTTTGCTATTATAACATAAGAATACTCCTTCATTTCATGTTCTGAATGACTATCTAAAAGTCCCTGATCAGATTTCGAACTGAAGGAATTTGGGTCGTCACCGTGGACCCAAACATCCTGGTGGTAACTGTCTGATTTACTGGAACTATCACTCTGAGGAGTGACTGGCTTTTTGTTGGCTTTATGAGGCGAAGTTGATACATAATGAACTCTGTGAACATGGTGATGGTTGTGAACATAATATGGGTCCAGGCCAGAGACGTTTGAAGTTGGTGATTGAGGAGTGGGGCTACTGGTTGTAGTGGACGTTGTACTGGCTGACTGGGATGAAGATCGAGAGATCGGAAGATCTAAGATCTGAAAAAAAGAAGAGAATTATGAAATAATATGTTTATAATAAGACAAGGCAAACCATTTTTAGAGATAAAAACTTAATAACTTTTATTCCAATATAAGTTGTACACGTAATTTAATTCTGTCACTAATATAAATTTAACTTTGATAATAAAATAAATATTGGTATTCTTGGCAGGACACACTAACATGCAGTTTAGTTGAAAAAATACTTCACTACATAGTTATATTGCCAATTTCTTAGGCCTTGACGTTCTCCAAGTGTGACTGTCTTAAGGCCATGACCTTGAACATTCATATAATGATTGTGAACATGAGTGTACAGATTTTTATTTTCTATCTAGCTTGTAACACAAGATTTGATTGGTTAGCAAGCCATGTGTAAATTTCCATACATCCAACTTGAGCCAAGGGGAAAATAACATGATGTCACAACGCGCAGTTTCTCTGTCACAAAAAGCAGAAAATATGACATCACAATGCATTGTACATATAGCACTTAATACATCATATCAATAGTTTGAAGCACCATTGATTGGACTTGGGTTTTACAAAGAATTTATTTGGATACATAAATTCGTTATCCAGATCCAATCAAGGGTGTACGGGGGATTTACCCCGAGTTGTATTCCAAGCCTTTGGCCTCAGGGTGTATGGAATAAAACTCGGCGTAAATCCCTGTACATGCTTCGATCTCAGGGTGTATGGAATAAAACCCAGGGTAAGTGTGAATTTGCAGAAATACGCATTGAATTTTACAAAATACGCATTGAAAATAAAAACTGTAGAATTAGCAATTGTAAAAAAGCATTACACTACGAAAATACTGCGTACAACAGATTGAATAATACAGGTACAACTTAACTAATGATATGAATTGAGGTTAGCTCAGTGTTTAATTTTTATCAAAACAAAATAAAAATTTAAAAGCATTTCAATAACCAGGACTATTCTAGTTATGGCAACGACAATTTCCAGTTCGGCCTTCGGAGAAAGAATTCAATGATTTAGATTAAAATCGATTTCTTTATATAGAAAGACTACGCACTAAGCATAGTTACTTTTAAGCACAAATAAGCTTGTATCATCTATGTAAGACGATATTGTAACAAGTGTATAAGTAACAGAAAACAATGTTAGAAAACAATGGATAATTGGAGAAAAAAAGAGTCCTTGCCAGAGAAAAAAGTTTATACTGCAATGTTATCATTATCAATGTTATAATATGTGTAAAAAAGCCTTAAAGACCATATTAAAACAATATTAAAAACCAGAAGTCTCTGACGAGACTGTAGCTCTACTGGTTGTACTTATAAAGGAAGATAAAAGTAGCACTTGGACTTCAAACTACGCAACAGCAATACATAGAACTAGTAGACTAATTGTTCTCGAACAATTAGAGGTCTTTCCACCTTCTTTGAATTTCATATATTTTTCATATTTTACTCTCTGAAGTTAATTTTTATACAAAAAGAATCCATAAATGGCTTGAAAGGTAGAAAAAATGAAAATTTCAAAAATTTCGAAATGACTTGACCTTTGACCTTGAAAAAAATATTCAAGGTCAAAGGTCACGGGTCACATTGCACTTGACCCCATGCTTCTGCCACTTTTAGTTTTAAAGTTATAAGGTTTAATAGTAAGCGAAAGACGTTAAAGGGCGATAACTCATATAAGGGGTCATCGGATACTTTCGCACTGAATAGATTGAAGTTGTATCAAAAGACCCTGAAGACATTAGTGAAGGTTTTGTGTCTCTACGGTTTACGGTTTCGGAGGAGTAGCGATAACAAGGTTTTCAGTAAAAGGGGCAATAACTTTTAAAGGGGTAAATCTTAGGGGACAAGTAGGAAATCTTTGAAATGGTTTTAAGAGGACATATTAATGATGCAAAGATATTTAGAATATGTTGAAAGACAAAAGAGCTATAAAAAGAGCTTAATTTCTCATATTTTGAATGACCTTGACCTTTGCATATATTTTAAGGTCAAAGGTCAATGAATCTTATGCAGTTGGTCCCTGTCTCTACAACTTATCGTTTTGAAAATTTTTAATTAATCGTAAGTTTCATAGACTTTCAGGGGCAATAACTCATAAAAGGGGTTGACGAATACTTTCGCAATGAAAAGATTGAAGAGTCCCCTCAATTAGTCGAAGATATGGGTGAAGGTTCCGTACCTGTATGGTTTACGGTTTCGAAGGAGTAGCGATAACAAGCTTTTTTGCGAAAGGGGTAATAACTCCTTGAGGGATCAAAGTTCATATACGCAGGGTCAACTGCAAAAATCTTTTACGAAGTACATTCTCATGGACTATAAATCTTCTCGATAAATCTTGAAACTCAAAATCACACGGCGGAAAAATAATAAAAAATAAGAAACAGAAGAATATCAATAGGTCTTTCCACGGAAAGGTGGAAAGACCTAATTATGATCCTTGGTTTAGTCTCTTTTTGTGGCAAGATTTATTGCAATCAGACTAAAACTGTAGGAGGAGTAGCATTTTGAAAGTATTTCAAGAAAATTTCTATTTTAAGTAACCATGGCAACTGTTCATCGAAATCAACAACTGGTATAGAAAATTATGTATCTTAGTGTAGTCTACTTGTGTGTTAAGTTATACTAAAATCAGACCAAAACTGTAGGAGGAGTAGTATTTTGAAGGTATTTCAAGGAAATTTCTATTTTAAGTAACCATGGCAACAACAATCATCGAAATCTAAAATCCATACAAAGAATTATGTATCTCAGTGTAGTCTACTTGTTTGCCAAGTTATACTGAAATTGGACCAAAACTGTAGGAGGAGTAGCGTTTTGAAAGATTTCACAGAAATTTCTATTTATAGTAACCATGGCAACACCGTTCATTGAAATCAAAAACCGATACACAGAATTATGAATCTTAGTATAGTCTACTTGTGTGCCAAGTTATAATGAAATCAGATCAGAACTGTAGGAGGAGTAGCGTTTTGAAAGTTTTTCACAGAAATTTCTATTTATAGTAACCATGGCAACACCGTTCATTGAAATCAAAAACCGATATACAGAATTATGTATCTTAGTATAGTCTACTTGTGTGCCAAGTTATAATGAAATCAGATCAGAACTGTAGGAGAGGTAGTGTTTTAAAATTTTGTCACAGAAATTTCTATTTATAGTAACCATGGCAACACCGTTCATTGAAATCAAAAACCAATAAACAGAATTATGTATCTTAGTATAGTCTACTTGTGTGCCAAGTTATATTGAAATCAGATCAAAACTGTAGGAGGAGTAGCGTTTTGAAAAATTGTTTACAGAAGGACGGACAGACAGACAGACAGACAGATGGACGGACGGACAATGGACACCTTACTATCGCATAAGCTCTTCTGGTCTCTGACCAGTAGAGCTGAAAATGAGCTCTGTTTAAATTCAAGACCAATGAATTAAACTGCTGTAGAGAGACATTACGCATAATATGTATTTGAATTTAATGTTTAAGAGTTCTCATAGATTCTCTATGGTTCTTTGTTTAGTAGGATGGTTACAGAAGGTTTGTACATAATGTTTTTTATGATGGCTTCATTGACAATTTGATTTTTCTCGTTATTTTTTTTTTCTCGGTTTACTCTCGACTTGCTACGATATCATATTAAATGGAGAAAAAAATTATTTGTCTATGGTTCCTTTACCTACTGTATGATATTCCTTGTCAAAAAAATGTTTCTCAGGTTTAGCAAAAATCTTGTTGGCATTTTTAAAATTTTATTTAAATAAATCCAGGAACTGTTGTTTTTTCTTTTCTCTTTTAAAATACCTTTATTTCGATAACAAGCTCAAAATTACAATAGATACCAAAACATTAATATATTAACAAAATACTCTTAAATCATTTTGCTGAATATCAAAATCTGCATTAATTTGAAAATCAGGGAGTAAATACACTTTGGGCTAAAAAATTATCTGGAGCTCTCATAAATCCCCGTACACCCTTGACCTGGATAACTAATATTATGAGATTGTTAGGTACAATGTAACTAGATGTTGCCTCCTGATTATTTCTACCCTTCTAATATTTTACCAATTATTTTTTTTTTATTTTAGAGTTTCTATCAAAAACTGCATATCAGCATCAACCCCCTTGTTCAAATAATGTATCAGCAGCATTGTTTGTCAAATAATGGATCAAATTAAAAAGTGGATCATTTGTAAAAGACATGCTTCACAAGTCATAAGCAATCTTTGTGTCAAATATGAGCTTCCAATGTTTCTCCATTAGAAAGTTATGGACCAGACATTTTCTGCCAGTGACCTTGAACTTGCCCAAATGACCTTTGATAAAGGTCATGACACATCCTGGTTTAAAAAAAAATTGTTTGAATTATGAACTTCTAATGTTTCTCAATTAGAAAGCTATGGATTGGACATGAATTTTACTCTTTTTCTTTCAGTGACCTTGAAACCACACAAATGACCTTTGGTCAAGGTCTCATAACAGACCTTCAGACCATAGACAATTTTTGTGTTAAGTACCATATATACTCGCCTATAAGTCGGTTTTTGGGAGTTAAATTTTGGTCCAAAACTCTGGGTCCGACTTGCAGGCGAGTCCTAGAATGATTGGTATTTTTCTGGACAACAAAAGGTAGTATTTTACAGAGCTGTGGAAAGCTTTTTCAGATAGCCAGTCATTCGGACCAGCAAGAAGACAAAATAAGCCGGTCCGAAATAGTACGTTGCAAAATTTTTAAAAAAGCATAAAATTTATTTATTTCATTACAAATCTATTTACTTAATAAAATAACATTTAGTCTCCATTTGCAAGTCCTCTTCCGTTTTCGTTTTTTTTTTTTTTTTTTTTGCATTTATAACAATTTTAGATTTCACCGCTTTTGGGCAGGTGACAATGCCAATTCAGCATAGTAAACGTAATATTTCTGAAACATTAATGCATTTGGAATTATATAAACCTAGAAAACAAGTCTTAAAAACTTTGAAGAAATTCTGTGCATCAATAATAAA